TCATTATTTTAGCTTTCTGAAGGCCATGATGGATGAAATAGATCAGTACCCACATATGAAATGGTATTATTTTGTTATGGATAGCGCTATAAGACCTCAAATCCCAGAATCCTGACGTCGTTCAAGTTGAGCAAGCCCTTTCTCAACAGCCAAGCAGCACCGTATCCGTAGAAGTCTTTGGCCGCTTCCTTCAAGCCAGATCTTAACAGTCTGCCGTTCTCAGTCGATTCTATAGACACACCATCACAAACCATGATAATGGATACCCCCTCTTTCGCAAGATCCGTCTTTCAGCGTACTTCAACAAACAACATGCCGATCAAAAGCTTATTCAAGGCTTACGCACCAAGTTTGGAGAAGACGCCGTGTTTGTGATGGGAAACTGGTCCGCTCCCCATGCTAGGTATCATGAGCCCATCCGTAGCCTTGGCCTCCGAAGGCTCCTCAAGAAACATGGGTTCCAAGTCTTCCTTATAGACGAGTACAAGACCAGTAGGTGCTGTTCAACATGCCACAACGATAGCCTCCGCACGTTCCGTCGTGTTCCAAATCCACGACCGTATCAACGTGAGCGATATCCTGCTGTTGTCTGCCATGATCTTTTAAGGTAATAATACATTAACCACTTGGATGACTTTATTCTGATTGAACATTGCTTGTAGATACACCAATCTATACTGTAGACTCGCCATGGCAGCTCCAGATAGATATCGCTTATGAAACAGGGATGTGTTTTATTTTTAACCTTTACGTAAATGCTTTTTTTTAATATGCGCCAACCATTTTTTTCATGCATGTCATAATTTATAATAAAACAGTATGGGACTATAAAATAATAAGTACTGTTGATTAGCCTGTTGTAAGCTAGACGTAATATATGATAAATTATGTAGTAAATTTGAGACGGCGCACTCATCCAAACAAGGCTTATCCATGATGTGATATTTAATTTTGCAATAAGGAATGACGTGGTCTTCATGCATTAGAGCCTTTGCATAAAATGACATCAAGAGTAGATTAGATATGGATTTGATCAAGGTCGTAATAGCTCATATACTGTTCATTCATGCAATTTTCACTCTTTCTCTAACTAGAATCTTATCAGTAACAAGGGTCAAGTGCTATAACTTGTATCAAAAAGAAAAATGAAGCCCTTACCATCTCGTCTCATTTCTTATGCATCGATCAGCTACAGCAAGTGTTTAAATCTACATCAATTCCTTGTTCTCAAACACAATTATTATTATAATTGTATTCTTTTTATTTTATTGTCTTTTCAGAGAATAAAAGTGTCCCAAAGTATTTCTTGTGCGCTTTTATTTCTAATGTTGATAGTGAGATTATTACATAGCCAATAATATAGAAGGCATATGAAAGCTTAGCTCTATAAGAAACAATAAATTTGTAAGAGGTGTATTTGTACGAGTATCACCTCAATCTTATTATAAATTAGTGTTCAATTCTAAGTCAATAAAAGAGAGCCTTTTTATCCCTTAGTTTGTGTACACGCTTATTTCCTAGTGAAGTTTGACATTGATAGTTACAGTCAAGAGCGAATAAAGATAGTACAGTTTATAAAGTCAAAAGGTAATAAAGTTCTCGATACAGCACTCGTGTTAACATGATTTCAATTTCGCGTTCCTGTGAAAAATACCGCGTTTCGAAAATCAGGGCCCGACAAAGAATGCAGCTTCGCTATTTTGAGATTTGGTAGTGCGCCAGGAACTATCATAAAAAAATTGATTTTTTTCTTTCCATATTCAAGTGTCATGTCAACCAACATTTTACCAGATGTGTATAAAAAGTACAAACTACCAGTTGTCAATGAGGGATCCTCTCATTTCTTTTCCATGTACAATGCTGAAGAATGGAGTTTTGAAAAATATTATCAGGAAACACATCCAAATGTTAATAAATCTAAACAATTCCAAACTATTGTGAAAGATTACTGCAATGATTTAAATTGGGTCGCCCAATTGGAGGGAATCCCAGATACCATAAGAGAGTATGCGCGCGCTTTAATAAAAGAAAAAAAGGTAAACAATTGAGCGTGAAGCGAAAAGGCAAAATAAAGCTTATTCTTTTGAACTTTAGCCAACAAAAGCTGAAATGATGGCCAACTTGGCTATGAATGGAGTAAAGAAAAGAAAAATATCTAAGCAAAATGTAACTATAAACGGAGGAACCAACATAGTTGGTTACAATGTTAAAATTGAAAACAAGGCAAGGCATTTATCTGTAACATTATATCGTGTAAATTTAATGATCTTCCTTTGTGCATCTATAAATAGGAAGACTCCAGTGATAAAACCAAGGTTTCCAAGAGAAAATATAACTACGTACAAGAAACAGAAGATATGGATGAAGAAAATGAAAAGAATAAAGACGACATTGCAAATCAAATTAAGACTATACAAGCATGTTACTGAAACAAAAAGCTTCTATATGACCTGACAGATAATCCATTTTATTTTTCACTTAGAAGCCAAGTGTTTGGTTAGATTGGTTAAAATTTTTGTCCAATAATAAGATTGCATTCCATCCATTCAGGTAGTTAATTAGAGAGGTTTGGAAACTACTTTGTATTTACCTTGGATGGAAATTTTTACATGGCATTGTACTAGATAGTATAGAATTATCTTTGTTTCTGTAGAACTTTTATGCTTTGTTCAATCATTGACTCACAGACACTATTTGTGTAGTACGCATTAAAATCCGATCTTGGGCACTACATTTTTAGACTTCCCAAACCTCTCTGTCAATGTGGAAATAGACTTTTATCTAACCAATGAATTTCTTTTACGTTCTTTATTAGTCCTGAAGCAAACAATATAATTCGCTCTGGCAAGGGGATTTCGTCAAAACCCTATTTAGATAAAGATTTGTATGCCAGACACTTAGAAAACCACAATCATGCGCTGCATACGATTCCAGAGATATTTTTTAAATTCATTGATGCAGTTGTTAGTTGTGTAAGAAAATGCACTATAAATGTTACCAACTCGAATGTTTTTATAACTCCTTAATGTAGGATGACTTAAGACAGTTCAAGAGCAAAGCAAGAGAAGTCACACTATATATAGTGTCATTAGACGAAAAGGAAGAAGAGGCAAAAGATCTGGAGTTCTTGGAAGAGATTCTCTTGGCGGCGTAAGTTTTATATTTGTTGTGTATTTATCAAGCACGATCTTACAATACTTTTACCATAGTTTTAAGATGTACAGTTCGCATATAAATAAGTATAAATATGAGGATGGATTTAATCAGTTGTTTGTTTGGCCGTACGTCGATATCATTGCCAAGAGTATTACAACAAGTGATTGTAAATCTGATTTCGAGTCTGGCCAGCCGCATCTCCAGAGCATGACACAGCAACTAAGGGCAAATAACCTATATATTGATGAAAAAAATTGTTATAAGTCAGACGGGCTTATAAAACTGTATGGAATAAAGCAAATTGAATTGCTACTGCTCGAAACCTCGGGCCATTTCGGTAGTACATGCAGCGTCAAACTCAATTTTGACCACCATAAGGGCATGTTTGGTCTGTTGGCCATGCTTAAAAGCATAGCAGATGAATTTCACTTTGCAGCAATTGAAAAATTTTGCAAAGTGAAAGTTTTTCTGCTACATGCGGCAGGTAACACTATAGTTTACTAAATATTTCATCGAATTCTAATTATTTTTATATGCAAATAGGAAAACAATTACACCTTTGGAGCGTTTGCTTCCAACAAGAAGGTATATTTGACCTTTGGAGAGAGGCAGATATGACAATAAAGCCTGATTACGATGAAAAAGATGAATTTATACCAGCTTTGGTCAAGTTTTGCTGGATGACAAAGGTAATAGGAATCCTTAATAAATAAAAAAAAAGTATTTAGTATATTCATTAATAGCACTTGCTCGAAGAATCCGTGGAGAGCATTATTGAGCTCAGGAAGGACCACAAAGAGAAGCAGGCGAAATACAGATATGACACAGAATCGCCTGCTTCTTTAAAAGATATTGTTAATCCAATAATATTGAAATTAACAAAAAATGGGAATAGCAATGATATGCATTCCCTGGGCCCTGTTTACTCTCCCTCTCACTATTAACTTCTTTATATATATATATATTTATATATAAATGATTATGTCAATTAAAGCAGAGGGCTTTAAACACATCTGTTGTCTGTTTCGCCAAAGTTACTATAGTTTTCAACCAAAGTAATAAAAACAATTTAAATGTATGACATTAGTTTTTTAGAAACAAAGAAATGTCTTATTAGGCGCAAAAAAAAATCCACCCAGACGAGGTCAGGAAAAGGATAAAGGTGGCTAAAAAAACCCCCTTTCGTTGCAAGGGTAAAAAAATGTATCGGTAATATAAGAATTAGTGATCCAACCAGCTACTGACGTTTTCAATCCAAAAAAGGGGAAACGTGTATCTAGTGAGCAGGACTCTTGAGGAAGGCAACCATGTTGAAGCTGATCAAACTCTGAAAGTATGGAGCATATAATCGGCCAGTAGAGGTACCGAGAATCCTATCAGCTGTATCATACGCTAACTTTACATTGAGGAATGCCAATACAAGGTGAGTAAAGAGTTTTGGCTTATTAACTGATTGCTAGGAAAATCAACCAATAGTTTATTTTGAGATCATCTTATTTAGTGTTTGATATAGGCAATAGGCAGGTCGGCCTTGCTTCTGCTGCTGGAATGAAAGGTAGCGTTTTTAACAAGGAAAAAGCCCTTTGTAAATAAAATAAAAGATTGATATGACACCTTTATTGGTCAAATTCATTTGCCGTATTGATCTTCTTTTACGCTTTATTTTTATTTTTTTTTTTTTTTTTTTT